TAATTCCGCGACATGGGTCTCTGTCGCAGCGCAAGCATAAAAAAAATGCAGAGTGTCTATTAGAAGTGCTCTTTCGAGTCCACGGTCGAGCTGCTGCCTGCTTATGCAACGCGCGAGCATGGTGCCGTTTCAATGCGCGACTCGCGCTAATGAGCTTATAGTGCTAGTTGCGGACACACTTCGGAATGATCATGGCGTTTCGGTTCGCTAATAAGTGCGCTAATGCGCCGTAAGACAGTTATTTCGGTGCGAAGCTCGTAAAGCTTCATTTCTATTCGGCACTCCGGCGCAGCAGCAACGGCGGCGCGCGCGCGAACTCAATCGATTGCCTGTGGCAATAGACGCGGCTAATATTAATGGCAGCCGGCGCGCACGAAATTAAAGTTGAGTCACAATTTCGATATTGCCTTCCCTCCGCGCTCCACATCCTAACGATACGCCGCCACGCTTTGTCGGAATAGCAATCCCGCGCGGCAGCGCCGCTTTAATTAAATGCGATTTTGGTTACTTTACCCAGACAGCCGCGCGCCCAAGCTTTGCCATTATGCATGCACTCGCTTGAGCTTGTTGACGTTCAATTTGAGCTCTTGCCTCTGTGTGCGCGTGTACAGTCGATTTACCGGCACAGCTCCGTGTCAAAAATTTCGCTTTGTTTTCGCGACGCGCGATCGTGTAATCTAGGCACCGTCAGCGTCGGCTGTAATGAAACTCGCGATTAGCAAACGAAAAAATAATGTCTATCGCTGGAGCGCGAGTCTAGCGAGGCTCCGTTGGAAAGTAGCAGTGGCGCTCGTTCTTGAAGACACACGTCGCAGCCAAGCCGTACGTAACTAGCTACCACCACCGAGCCGCTTGCTCCACTCGAGGGAAATCTGCACTAATTGAGCTTCGACTACGGCGCGCGGAATACATATGCCGAACGGGCATACGCGTTACACGGTCAATTCAAGGCTTTCTGTTTTCGCGCTGGATGGTGTACTAGCCTTGGAGATCTCGCTACCTAGTTTTACCTTTCTTTTTTTTCACGGGGCGATTTGTTCTTCTTTGTTTTTCGAGCCGCCGCGTCGAAGAAAAGAAGCCCGCTTATCCTACGGCGTGTTGGCTCGAATGTATGTAGGCCGCCGCGCCGCATGCTATGCAAATTCTCTTTAATTGTCGACGGAACGTTAATTGCGCGCTGCCGAGATTGTCTCCCTTTCGTAGGCGACAGCAGCAGCAGCCCAATTTTTCGCCAAGTAGCCTTTGTGTAGGAAGAGGAGGCGGGCCACTCAAGACGATGTTTAAACTGGAATCGAAGCTGAAGAGCACTGCATCTCTCGTTGTCTTTGCGCGTCGTCGAGAGTCTGACGGTCGTTATATAAGTCCGTCGCCGCATCGTCGGCGCGTCGTAGCGCACTACTGGTGGATAGGAGAAAGCACTCCACTCGGTCATAATTAGTTGATTTAACGCGCAAGCGAGCTCATATTAAGCATGGTCCAGTCGAGCGGTATAGCCGAGCGCGTTTCCAGTTGCCATCAACTATGGCGATTCGACGGCTATAAAAGCTCCGATTGGATCGCAAAGCTCGCAGCTTGGGCATTGAGATTAGCGGGTAGCTACGGCGCGGTAGCCATAGATTTCGCAACTCCCCGGCAAACTAATAATCCCGCGCGAATGTATGCACATAGCGAAAGTTGTATCGCTGCCAGTGAGAAATAATTAAACGGAATAACCACTCAAAGTTTCATACGGCGGGGCCACGGCGTAGGTTAGACGATTGGTCTGGCGTCGCTGTAATAAAGATCATTACCAACAAGTATATATAGGCGCGAGCTTGCGCGCATATAACCTCAATATACCTTGGCATCGCTCAGCCTCACTTAATCCTAAAGCTCAGCAAGCTCTCTATACATACTAATCTGATGGAGTCGCAAGCCATTAAATCGTCGCCCCAGATATTATAATGGCTTGGCCTCTCCGGCAGATGCGATATTGGCATCTACAATAATGACACGCGGCGGCGATTTCATTCGCACTGGCAAATCAGCCCTCTCCTGCGAGAGAGAGAGTGAGAGAGTGAGAGATATGGTTGTCCTCCTACTGCTAGCCGTGATGCGAAATGCTAATGTGACGAACCTGTTTCCACCACCACTGTTCCCTCCTCCATCCCTCTCCCGGATATTGCGCTGCTGTTTCCGAACGTGCTACCTGGCAATAATTTGCTGCGTGCGTGCCTGTATATGTTGATTGCAGCGCAAATGCTCTGCGCGATGTTCGCGTGCTGTTTCTATTTACTCTTTCGACCTGCCTCGCCAATTTGTTTTCGCCGCTGGAAGTGCACTTTTCTTTGTTTAAACTCGCTACTGCTCATCTCGTGAGGGAAAAAAAAAACGATCATTTTGTAAATTCCGCGCTTTCTTCGAGCTCAAATTAAAGAGCTGTTTATTGTATGCGCTTATGAGAGCAGCAGGTGGCAACAACCAAGCCCACTTGACTGTCGTACTTTTTGCTTGAATTTTTGCCCTGCCACTTCGCGAAAAAAAAAAAGCTGCAATATCGATGTCATTGGAATATGCATTTCCGCATCGGTATTCAATCACGTTCACGTGCGCGCTATACTAACGCGTTTATGCTGGCAAAATTGTGTAATTGAAAAGTCAATTCAACAGCGCTCGTACAATAAATTAATATTGATCCACAGTTACTCGCAATACAAATGCGTCATAACCATTCGAACCTTCGAGTTGCTTGAATGAACGTACGACCTCGATATTTGTACAGACGCGATAGTCTCGTGTACTCGATTCATGCTGAAGAAAACTAAAGGAGGAAAGGGCAGATCGAACACAAGAATAAAATGCAATGAATGTTTATTAGCACAAATGAAAGAAATCTAGTTTCTTCGGTAAAAGACATTGGCGATTCCAATGACAAGGAGGGTAGGGATAAAACGGGACACATCGGTTCAAGTATCAGAAGAGTCGTCGTCATCGTTTCGGTCAACACGCGCGGGAAAAACGCTTGGCCGTTCTCGTCGCGCAGTGACGCGCTCTATTCTGCTCGCGACGCGAAGCATCGACAGGCATCGTCGCCGTACAATGCAGTCGCGAAATAAAACAATCGATGATCGATTGGAAAAATGCGATATCGGCTTAATATCGCTTCATAATGATTAAAGTGCCCCTGCTTTTATTGACTCGGCCCGCGCGAGCTTCATATTACGGATATTGCCGCGCGGCTCAAAGATCGTGTGCACACGCTCTCGGACGTGCATGGAATATCGTCATTGTCATTGTCTTCTTCTTCTTTTTGAATCGTGCCCTCTGGTTAGAAGCCACCTCTAACATACTTGCCTCTCGCTACCTTTTATTCCATTGTGCTTTATTCGCTTGACTCTCGCGCTACCGCCGCTGGTGCTGTCACTTTCATAGCTTTACATATACAGAGAGAGTCATTTTCTGATCAAAATTCCAGATATGCGACAGATCTTTTAAGAGGATTTTCCGTTCCACTGCAGTTAGTCGTGATTTTCCCCTGAAATTGTCATTCGCCCTCCGTCTCTTCTCTCTTTCGGCCAGCGAGTGATTTTACGAAATTGATTTTTTAAATTTTGATGAGTTGACGCGTGGCTCCTCTCTCAAAGACATTTCCAAGTCATTTTGGGTCGCTAAAAACTCGAGCAGTTTGCGCATGAAAGTTCGAAGAATGGCCGAAGCTCTTTTAAGTTTTCAAAGAAGATCGAGCTGCTGCCATAATAGCATAAAGTTTTTGATGAACTTAATTTTTCAGTGCGTGCAGTCGGATGTGCACTCCTCCATGATTTTCTATCCCTTCCTCCTCGTTCTTTCTTTTTTTCTTTTTATTATTTTAAATGTATGCTAAGTACTTTCACTGAATTTACTGCTACTCTCTTCTTCATTTTCAAGAAATTTGAATTTCACTGTATATTCATGGCCGAAACCAACTCTATTACTCTTGCAAATGGAACTTTTACTTTTAATTTCCTGCCAAAGTCCTATTAACCACTCTGTGCTCGCTCAGCTACTATATCCCTCTCCTGCCAAATAGTTATCCCCAGCGATGAAGTATTTTCGAGTTGTACACGTTGCATTAAACTCTGACTGGCTTGTAACACGGAGTTCCAATTGATGCACTTTGAATAAAAGATCTCTGGGCCTGTTCAAGTTTTAGCCTATTCAGATGTAAATTTAATAGTCATTCTGGATTTGAGAATCTCAGCGGAGTATATTCTATTTCGATTCCTTCAATTTCTGTTATATCAAGTTTCCAAATGTTGGTATACTTGGTATTCATTATACTCGTAAGTACCTTCTGGCATCTCGAGAGCAGTCAAAACAATCCTGATTGAATGAGACCTGGCGCTACTCGTAATTTCATTTGCGAAAATTGATTGGGAAGTCGTGTGGATAAAAGAATAGAAGAAAATCTATAAAGTTCTGACAAATTATAGAACACACTTGGCATGCTTATTCACCGGAATGTAATGCTGTTGTCGTCAAATCCTTTAATTAACCTCTCTCTCTCCCTCTCTCTCTCTCTCTCTCTCTCTCTCTCTCTCTCTCTCTCTCTCTCTCTCCCTCTCTCTCGCGCGCGCGCGCGCGTGTGCAAAGGTAGTAATGCAGCTTCATAAGTTTCAAAATCTGCTTGCCACGTATTTAGTTCCGTGCTATACATTAGGCAAAATACAATTACGTACTTACAAATGTGCGCCACTTACAAATGTACCATTGTATAATCATTCTGCACTCAATACGCCCAACCTTTCTCATTAGCTACTCGTAATAAATTAACATCAAAGCAATCCTTTTAAACCAGATTTTTTTTCTTTGCAGTCTCATTTAAAATTTTGAATTATTCCAAACTGACCAAATTTTCAACTAATTGAACATACTGTCGTAAGTGCTACTCAATAAAGAATGAACTGATAAGCGAAAAAGAAGCGAAGAGAATAAGAGCTAGTCTTAAATAAAATTGAATGGTGTCGTTTGTTCTATTACAGTTCAACTTCGTGGGTAAGCTGTTGGGTCCCAAAGGCAATTCCATGAAGCGTCTGCAGGAGGAAACGATGTGCAAGATGGCTGTTCTCGGTCGGGGATCTATGAAGGATAGGCAGAAGGTGAGTTCTCCATTATGCCTCGTCGCGCTCTTTCAAATGGAAATTGAAAAGAAGCCCTCGACGGGTTGACTTTTAACCTGAGTTCTCTTTAAATTCCCTCTCTTTCTCTCTATTTACTTTCCCATTGGCTCAAAGAAAAATTAGCGTTCGAGCGCGAGCGTACGATTGCTTTCCACTCACTTCGCTCTCTCCTCCCTGCTGTTTTTTTTGCTGCGTCGTTGCCTCTCAATTTTTTCCTTAATTGTTTCATTCGCGTACCGAAGGCCAGGAAAATTATTTGCTGGTGATTCGCGTACTAAGAAGCGAAAAAGCGTGTTGCGCCGGATCTTAATGACCCGCAACTACCACACTGTTGATTTATCGAGCTCACTTACGGATAATTATCGGAAAGTAATCAGTTGATCCAGTTTTTTTTGCGTAAAGTTTATATGATTATTTCAATCAAATTCGCTTAAACTGATCATTAAACAATGTTTTGTTTTTTTTCCACAAAAAGAAACTCGTAGCATCCGGCGGAAGATGTGCTTCTTGTTGCAGTGGTCGTATAACGGCAACGTCTGCTTATTCTGTTCTTTGCAAAAATTTGAGGCGACGTCTGTCCTACGACGATAAGAAGCAACAAAGTCGTGCGCATGGCGACAGCTTTATTGGTCGTAATAATCACGTACTGTGAATGGCGAGACCCGAATTTTAACGCGCCTTTGTATAGTCGCATGTGCATTTTATGTTTGCGAATCCCGGGCTGAATATGAGTTTTATGACGTGTAAGTTTGGAGCATAAAATGTACGTGGTTTTTTTCAGTACATAGAAACGGGAAGGTAGCGTTCACGCACATAAGAATTATACACATTATCATTGTACACAAACAAATCCGTATTTTATTTCTTACACAAAGATAAATTTATTGTGCATCATAATTTCAATGAATAATCTATCTCGATAATATTATGCACACAATCGTCAAGGCAAATAATTAAGAGACACAGTCGTGCACTGGACATTGTACACTCCTTAAAAAATAAATAATCGAAGGATACTGATGATTTTGCACAAAGAAATTATGCATTACCGTCCAATATTAAAGTATAAATGTACACTTTTGTTTTCCAATGTGCACAATTCTCTTCCACAATATTAAGATAAAATTTAATGAATTTCCTGTGTGCACGATGGGTGTTCTACAAAAAATCGGTAGATATTGTTGGTGCACTATCAATCAACGTAAGTGCATAATTTCTTTGTGCAAAATCATCAGTATCCTTTGATTATTTATTTTTTAAGGAGTGTACAATGTCCAGTGCACGACTGTGTCTCTTAATTATTTGCCTTGACGATTGTGTGCATAATATTATCGAGATAGATTATTCATTGAAATTATGATGCACAATCAATTTATCCTTGTGTAAAAAATAAAATACGGATTTGTTTGTGTTCAATGATTATGTGTATAATTCTTATGTGCATGAACGCTACTTTCCCATAGAAACAGCGTTTTGTTTGTATTTAGATGAAATTTTTGAAACGAATATAACCCATGATTACGTTCATTAGTTCGATACGCGATGAAGGTTGTCAAAAATTAATTAAAATTACGTGATCGAATATCTGACGAATTCTCTTGGAAATAGAAAAAAGCTGCGACGAAATACGCGTAGCAGTAATTTGCATCATTACTTCGTTCCGTTTAATGGAATTATCCGTGCTCCAGTGGTTTTTGAAATTGGCAGTACTGCAACGTTTCGCGAGTATTTATTCGCGATAGAATTGCATTGAAGCTTGAACTAAAAAAAAACCATATAAAACGGCACATTTTAATGAGAGGACAGGTGCTAGACAATATCAGGAATTTATATATTTTCCGAGAAAACATAGCGGAAGATTTTTCTAGTTATAACAAAAAACATTCTACAAAAGGGCTCTCGGCTGAATTACACGCGCAATCAAATTACGAGATAAATCCGTGACAGGTCTGCGGCACTTTTCATGACTAGCTACGGTGTGGGTGGTAGAACTCTCGAGGGAAAAGCGCATCGCGCGTAAAGATACGTTTGCGCGCGTGTACATTTTTCTCGGATCTGCAAATTCCTCCCTTGCCTCAACTGCACGCCAAATAAGCGGCTCGTGCTGTAATTTCGAGGATTCGTACAGGCTGCTGTTAACCTCAAAACTATTCTAAAACTCGACAGACGAGGAAGTGGACGGGTGGCGAGGGGGAGGAGAAAAGCCGAGGCGCCAGGATAAGACGGGTAGATCCTCCTCTCGTTTTGTTTTTTCACTTCGTGACTTTTCCACTTGGGCTGAGAGTGAAGTTATGAAATTAAAGTTGGAAAATTTTTCAAGTTCGATTTGCCCATAGCTTGGAAAGAATACTAATTTTTTGAGAACCCAACCCACAAGCAGCATCCACGAACGATTATTTAAAAGTGCTTGTGAAAGCTACTATCTAATTATTTATGTTGCAATAAATATAGCATAAATCTAAATATGTCTGTAACGCACCCATATTATAATGTTAAAAATTCTCTTTTATTTTCCCCTCTTAGCACGATAATGTCAAAGGGAGTTTCAATAGTTGCAAGAGAATTTCGCGTAGCACAAAAGTATAAATCACAGCAGTAGTATATCTGAAAGAATTTGCTCGCGAGAGTTGATGTGAAAGATAAAAAAGAAATATGCAAAGTTAAGTGAGCAATGCTAAAATATGATAAGTGATAAAGAGGAAACAAGAAAGGCAACAGAGACTGTGAGCGAGAGAGCTGAATCAGTGGAAGGCTAGCAAAAGCAAAAAGCAAATGCTTCCAACTGATGCATATTTATAACGGAATTAACACGGAATTGCACTTGGCCTCAACGCGACTGAGATTCGAAATTTTCAAATTCTACGTGGCAACTCAGCTTTGTATTTTCAGTGCACGTTTTCATCTCGCTTCTCTTTTTTTTTCCAAGTGTGTGTAGCCACAGATACTGCCACTTTTCTGTCTACTTTTGCTGGCTTGTTTCCTGAATATAAGGCGAGCGCCACCGAGAATTTGCCACCGAGGATGTTCGCGGTATAATATTCATCTTTATTTACTACTTTACTTTTGGGCTGCATAATAACGAAAACTTCAGGACAAAAGTTTGATGAAACTTCAATATGGTGCCTGTAAAGACGACTTAATTTTGTTTTGCATTACTCTTTTCGCCCTGTCGTTTGAACAAAGTTTTTAGATTTACATTTAATTAATACGCAAATGATGTATAAGTTTTGTTTTAATGAATTTTGACAATCGTCCAAAGGTATTCAACTTCATCAATGTTATTGAGCTGTCATGCTGTTACGGATGTATTTTGAAATATGCTCTCACAGAATTTTTGGACAAAGACATTGCGCTTAGATCATTTCATTACGCCGCGGACTGTTTGCTAATCGATGCGCGCGTGCGATGTCGAACTCGAAAACAAGATCGAGTGACCATGCGTAACGGCATCGACACTCTCATTTCTAAAAGAATCTCTAATCTGCCGACATTTGTCGGTTGGTTCCTTTGTTGTTAAGTTCAGTTACGGCCTCTTCGAAACTCGAAACTCAAGCAACACTACGAATATTGTTTAATTTAAGATAAGCGTGTGAGAGAAGCGTGCGCCGCATCAAGCTGAGTTACGATTATAATCAAATTTGACTATTTACCATTGCTACGATCACTGCCTCCAAGCTCGCAAAAATGCATACATCGCTAAAAAATATGGCAAATGCATTGTGGCAATCAGACTGGTTGAAAGTTTACCTTTCAAAGCTGATTGTCGACGACGGACATTGAGCGTCCGTCACCCCGTTGTTTGAGCCGAAAGTCGGCACCGTCAAACAACGCAATACGAGCCACCAAAAAACGGCACAATATTTAGCGCGCGGTCGGAATCATCATAGACTTCGACTCGAGCCAATCAACTAGAGTCCGGAGCAGTTGACACATGAATAAGGAAACCTCATTGGCAGGAGGTCAAGAAGTTCACGCCTTCGACCTTCGTGCGAGGAAAGGGAATTAAGATAAGAAAATTTTTTGATCGGACTCAGCTGGCGCGGCGACGCGTCTCAACCATTCTAGATCCGGCACTTGAACAGGCAAGTCGCCTATCTTTAAGCACGCGTGCGTCAATTATATTTCATTAATTGTACTTCCGTTAATTGTACCTTTATACTATTTAGAATTACGATTCTCGTGCCGACACAAATTTAATCCTTTCTTATTTTAACTAGTTTAGCTGTTAGTTGTTAGTTTGATTGTAAGCTTACTTTGGTTCCGAGCGTTCCGGTTTATTTATTATCTTAAGTAGTGTTATTGTGAATTAAATAAATCCGGCGTTCTTTATATCAAATATTTTAAAACCTCCACTCTCAGTCCTTCTCACCCTAACACATGCAATGAAAAACGATGTCTTCGTTCAAAGCTGTTAATTTTTTTAATAGAAGAGTACTCAAAGAAGAGCGCACAGAATTGTAAATAGCTAGTGAATTTCTCATTAACACTTCTAGGAAAATAAAGTAGGTGCTCATAGTATCCCGAAGTGGTACGCAAAAGTAAAACTTTCCACCGGGTGCGCAAAATCTTAGCGCACTAACTTTGTAAATGCAGGTCAACCCAGCCCTTTTACGAGACGGCTTGAAACTTAAAATAACGCTTGGTCGTGCGCTAACCCTTCGGTTTATAGCTAAAGCGCGCACGTTGTGAATTTTCGAGCGATAGATTGCCAGAATTACGTGACGTTTTAAGCGATCATTTTTTCCTCCTTTTCCTTCCTTTGGCTCCGAGTCGTTCAAAAATAATAAAAGACGCGAATTATCCTTCAAGAAAGGTCCGCGGGAATAATGAGCTTTTGTGAAATTATTGTGGAGGAAAGGAGAAAGCAGCGAGGCGTCAATGATTTAATTATGCAGTTTTAGGCAACGGCATGAAGCTACAGTACTTGTTACTCCCACGAACATTTATTTATTATTTTTATTATTATTTTTTGTTGAAAC